TGCTCTCGAACTTGCTCCAGAACCTGCTTCGGAACTTGCTCCGGAACCAGATCCGAAGTCTTTGCTACGGCTGAAGAACCCCGAGCTTGGCTGTTGCGAAAAAATGGCCTAAGCCCTCCAGCCCAGCGACCCAAGGGAGGGTGTGTGCCACACGGGAGATCTGCATGACGCCGAAGGCAAACGCCAAGTAGTTGGACAGCACAGTGGCCCAGGCCACTCCAACGATGCCGCCATCCAGGACGTAACCTGGAACGGCCACGACGAGGTGCTGGAGACTGCATATAGCCTTCAAAAGATTTATGGCTGCACATTGTTTTCATATGGTTTGTGGGCAATCTGCTCTGGGTATGCAAAAACACATGAAACCAGATGTGGAACAAGAGAAATCTCCTGCAAGCTGCTTAAAGGGAGAAACACCGCCAGGTCACCCAACACGACGCAAAGGACCGCGTTGCAGAGATTCAGTAGGACGTTTTGCGCCATGGCGATGTCAGTGCGTTGCACATTGATCAGCCACGCTTGCACCACGTAGTTGGACAAGGCCGCAGGGGCTCCCAGAATGCGACACTGGAAGTAGCTTTGGGCCACCATGGTCGTCTCGGGATCCTGGAGACCAACGACCAGACCGGGCAACTGGCGACCATACGTGGCAACGAAACGAACTGTGCCACTTCTTGCAAGGGTCTTGGATGTTACTTGTTGCCGCTCTTCCACTCATAGCTATAGCTGTCCCAGAGTCCGTTTCACTAACCATTTGCATCCACCAAGCTTCTTGGTTAAGTAACCATGTGTGTAATTTCAACTAAGCTTAATCTGTCAAACCTCCGCTCAACCCCCCCCCGGTCAGGCTGGTGCAGGACCATCCCGAAAAGCAGCGATGCCAACACCTCGCGTGCCATGCTCAAGGTCAAGCCGACCGCCAAACCCAACAGAATGCCACGCACACTGCAGGCGACCAGTTCCTCCACGTCGCGGGCCCCTGCAGCCTGCGCAATCACTCCGCCTGGACCACAAGAGAAGAAAAGGTAGATCTGTATCCTCTGAGGTATATAACTACTCGCCAAGTGTCAGAGTTTACGAGGATTGCCTTGAGACTCTGATGGAGTAAGAATCGTCTTTCATGGGTTGGTGGGTGCCGTGAGTTCAGAATTCACTGGAGGAAGCTAGGTTTGTTCATCTGCGTTTTTTGGTGTGGAAGACTGGGCACAGCAAGAACCAAAGTTGCCATAATTTCATTTGAAGTGTCTAGTAGTAAGAATGCTCCTAGTAGCGATGCCAGGAGCCCCTAGTAGCGTCCTTGCTCGTAGTAGTAAGGCCAGGTGCCCCTAGTAGTTTCTTGTTCCTAGTAGCGTTCTTGTTTCTGTCCAGTCGTATGGATCTGGTTCATCAGATCTTTCAAGATCATCTTTCTTGCGAGGGATCTGTCCAGAACATCGGCTTCAGCCCTGGGTTTCCCGTGTGAACAGCTACACTTCTGCAGCTGAAGCCGTACATCCGTTTCTGCTCCGCTAATTGCTTGGTAGCACGCTCATTCTATAGCAAGAAAGGAGTCATTAAGAACTAGGTTTGCAATGTCCAGTTTCATCTCTTCGATACTCTTTTTAAAAAACCATGGAGAAATCACCAAAAATACCAATGAAGAACCTAATGTACGGTTCCCGGTTTCCCTCTTCTCTCAACCCTTCCATCCCGGCCAAAGCCCATCCGCAGGAAGTTGAAGACGACCTTGGATTTGTGGAAGATTGAAAACTTAGCTGCAGATCAAGATTGTTGTGACCCACACACCCATCTGGTACGCTTCGGAATTCACTACCAGAATAGACACATGGACTCAGGGGATGAATGTGCAAACACATCTGGGGGCCTTCGTGTCACTGTGAGTAAGTCGGGTGTGACTTGTTCTGTGTGCGAGGTCACAACCATTGTTGAAGTATGACTGAAGTCAACCGGACACTGCGCTGCTTTGAAGTCCACTTGCCAAGTGCAAGGGACGTGGATGCCAAAGACCAATTCAGAGTGCAAGGTGCCAAGAACAATCCAAATGACTATAATAACAGAATATTTATATAATGTATGTATAATACATTCCATGATGTGAAATATAATCCGCCGACCCCTGCCTAGCTGACGCCTAGGCGGGGCGGCGCCCGGGACACCGCAGGGTGAAACAGTTGCCCAGGCCAAGCAGATCCAGAGGGCTTCGCCGTGGCTCCGCTGCCTTTCTCTGCCCTTTCTCTGCCCAAGCAGATCCAGAGTGTGTCGACGGTGCTGTTTACGCACACCTCAGCTGCCAGGCAACTGGGCCAGGCCAGGCGACGTGAAGCATTTTGGCTGGCTGCGGCTCGGCCGGGAGCCTTGGAGTGAGCTTCTGGCACGTGCCAGGCTACAACTAGTTTTATGGACCCCCGAAGGCGACGTGCCAGGCAACGTTAGGCATTTTGGCTGGCTGCACCCCCTCCCGTTTTTGGATGATTTTTGGTCTCGAATTAGATGGTGGAAAAGCGTGGAAGGAGATTGCCGGGAGCCTTGGAGGGAGGGCACGAGCATGGTGTTGAGGGGAGGAGCTTGTGTGGGAGTTTTTTTCGACGGCTTGCGAAGGCTGCATGGGGCAGCTAAAGCTGTTCAAGGGCTTCCGACAGCGGGATGAAGCACGCTTTGCCGTGGCTCCGCTGCCTTTCTCTGCCCTTTCTCTGTGGCTCCGTTTCTAGGTGTGGCCGTCGGTTGCATTCTGCCTTATACGCACACCTCTGACTCAGCTGCCAGGCAACTGGGCCAGGCCAGGCGACGTGAAGCATTTTGGCTGGCTGCGGCTCGGCCGGGAGCCTTGGAGTGAGCTTCTGGCACGCGCCAGGCTACAATTGTGTTGTCTTCTTGTGGGCTTCCACTAGGAAATGCCCACTTTGAAAAAATGCAAAAACAATCCAAAATAAAAGCAACCCAAAAATGCAAAAAAAA